AGACAAGAGACAAATCAATCATTGTGTGGAATTTTTTTTGGATCCTAAGTTGAACCAATCAGTAGTCAAAAGACATTTTTGAAACAATAGGGGAAAAGCAAACACAGAGTGCAAATTAGATATTAAGGAATTGCTGTTAATTTTATTGGGTGAAATAGGATGGTTAGGATTTGCTTTAGAAAGCTCCAAAAAGGGGCGCCTGGGTGGCTCAGTCGTTAAGCGTCTGCCTTCGGCCCAGGTCATGATCCCAGGGTCCTGGGATCGAGACCCGCGTCAGGCTCCTTGCTCTGTGGGAGGCCTGCTTCTCCCTCTCCCACTCCCCCTGCTTGTGTTCCTGCTCTCGCTAACTCTCTCTGTCAAATAAGTAAATAAAATCTTAAAAAAAAAAAGAAAGCTCCAAGAAAAACAACTGGAGGGGGCAGGGGAGAAGAGATCAGGTAACAACAGCATAAAGCCAGTGGTTGATAAGTCCTGGGGATGTGTACATGGGGGTTCGCTGCACTGTTCTATTTTTGTGTCCATTTAAAATTTTCTACAACATGTTTTTTTTTTTTTTTTTAAGATTTTATTTATTTGATAGAAACAGCGAGAGAGGGAACACAAGCAGGAGGAGTGAGAGAGGGAGAAGCAGGCTTTCCGCTGAGCAGGGAGCCCGATGTGGGGCTCCATCCCAGGACCCTGAGATCATGACCTGAGCCGAAGGCAGACGCTTACCGACTGAACCACCCAGGCGCCCCTCTACAACATGTTTTAAAGGATTAGAAAAAAGTGAATTTAAAAATTAGAAGCATCTGGGGCACCTGGGTGGCTCAGATGGTTAAGCGTCTGCCTTCAGCTCAGGTCATGATCTCCAGGTCCTGGGATCGAGCCCCACATCGTTGGGCTCCCTGGCTCAGCCAGGAATCTGCTTCTCCCTCTCCCCCTGCCACTCCCCCTGCTCATGGTCTCTCTCTGTATCTCTCTGTTTCAAATGAATAAATAAAAGTCTTTAAAGAAAATTAAAAAATAAAAATTAGAAGCATCCATCTAAAATCCTAGAGAACATAGGCAGCAACCTCAGCGACCTTGGCCGCAGCAACTTCTTGCTAGACATGTCTCCAAAGGCAAGGGAAACAAAGCAAAAATGAACTATTGCGACTTGACATCAAGATAAAAAGCTTTTGCACAGCAAAGGAAATAGTCGACAAAACAAAAAGACAACCAACAGGATGGGAGAAGATATTTGCAAATATCAGATAAAGCGCTATTATCCAAAATCTATAAGGAACTTACCAAACTCAACACCCCAAGAACAAAAAATCCAATCAAGAAATGGGAAGAAGACGTGAACAGACATTTCTGCAAAGAAGACATCCAAATGGACAACAGAAAAAATGCTCAACATCACTCGGCATCAGGGAAATGCAAATCAAAACCACAATGAGATACCTCCTCACACCAATCAGAATGGCTAAAATTAACAAGTCAGGAAACGACAGATGTTGGCGAGGATGCAGAGAAAGGGGAACCCTCCTACACTGTTTGGGGGAATGCAAGCTGGTGCAGCCACTCTGGAAAACAGTATGGAGGTTCCTCAAATGGTTGCAAATAGAGCTACCCTATGACCCAGCAATTGCACTACTAGGCATTCACCCCAAAGATACAAATGTAGTGATCTGAAGGGGCACCTGCACCCCAATGTTTATAGCAGCAATGTCCACAATAGCCAAACTATGGAAAAAGCCCAGATGTCTATCGACAGATGAATGGATAAAGAAGATGTGGTATATATACCCAATGGAATACTACTCAGCTACCAAAAGAAAACGAAATCTGGGGCATCTGGGTGGCTCAGTCAGATAAGCATCTGCCTTCAGCTCAGGTTATGATCCCGGAATCCCGGGATCAAGTCCCACATCAGGCTCCCTGCTCAGCGGGAAGTCGGCTTCTCCCTCTGCCTCTCACCCCGCTTGTGCTTATTCTCGCTCTCTCTCTCTCTCAAATAAATAAATCTTTAAAAAAAACAAAAACAAAAAAACGAAATCTTACCATTTGTAACAACGTGGATGGAACTAGAGGGTATTATGCTAAGCAAAATAAGTCAATCAGAGAAAGACAACGATCATATGATTTCACTCATAGGTAGAATTTAAGAAACAAAACAGAGGATCATGGGGGAAAGGAGGGAAAAATAAAACAAACGAAATCAGAGAGGGAGACAAACCGTAAGAGACTCTTAATCATAGGAAACAAACCGAGGGTTGCTGGAGGGGAGGCGGGTGGGAGGGATGGGGTACCTGGGTGATGGGCATTAAGGAGGGCATGTGATGTAATGAGCACTGGGTATTTATAAGACTGATGAGGGGCACCTGAGTGGCTCAGTTGGTTGGGCTCAGGTCATGATCCTGGAATACTGGGATCAAGCCCCCCACTGGGTCCCCTGCTAAGGGGGGAGCCTGCTTCTCCCTCTGCCCCTCATCCTGTTCTTGCTCTCTCTTTTAAATAAATAAAATATTTAAAAAAAAGGCTGATCGATCACTGAACTCTACCTCTAAAACTAATAATACACATAAATTAACATAATTTAATTATGTTAATTAATTTAATTAACATGTTATTTAATTGAATTTAAATAAAAAATAAAAATTAGAACCAGTTACATGTTCTAATTAAATGTATGAAATCTGAGAACCTGCCAATATTTCAGAGAGGTGATTTTAAGGCATAGGTGAGGTTATAAGGGTTTTAAGAGATTAAAGTAAAATGCAGGAAGTTGGATGTCTGAGCACCCCTTTCAGGTCTTGAGAAAACAGGTGGAGCCCAAGGTGAAGCTGCCTTGTGTATGAAGCTTTCAGGGTTTTCCCAGTTTTTGCTCTGAAGTCTAAATGTAGGGGTGGTTTTTGAGTCTAGGGTTTTTTTTGGTATTGATTTGACAAATTTACCATAAAACTTGAGAATAAAAAGACATTACCCTCCTTACATTCTCATATAAATCTTTATCCTTTATTTATTTATTTTTTAAAGATTTTATTTATTTATTTGAGAGAGAGAGAATGAGAGACAGAGAGCACGAGAGGGAGGAGGGTCAGAGGGAGAAGCAGACTCCCTGCCGAGCAGGGAGTCCGATGCGGGACTCGATCCAGGGACTCCAGGATCATGACCTGAGCCGAAGGCAATCTTTATTCTTTAAATAGTATCTCAAAAGACAGAGAGAGGCATAATCTTCTGTGGATAACAGCTCCTGCTAATTGTTACCTTAACTGCCTTCATAAACATGGGATTTGCAGTCAGGCAAAGAATCTCCCCAATTAAAGCAGCATACGGAAGAGCCTGGCCTTCAGGGAGTGGTGCTTTTGCCTTTCTTTCCTGCTATCTACAAAGATTTCTTGGAGCGCCTGGGTGACTCAGTTGGTTAAGCGTCCGACTCTTGGTTTCAGCTCAGGTTGTGATCTCGTGGCTGTGGGATCAAGCCCCATGTCGGGCTCTGTGCTCAGTGCAGAGTCTGCTTCAAATTCTCTCTCCCCACCTCTCTCCCTCTCACTCACTCTCTCTCAAATAAATAAAATCTTCAAAAGATAATAAAAAAATAAAACATTTCTTATGGAAAAAAAATTCAAGGATAATTTGTTAGGACAAACATGTATTACTTCTGTCATTAAAAAAAATTTTAAGAACATATGTTCACACACAAACTGGTACGAGAATGTTCATAGCAGCACTATTCACAATAGCCAAAAAGTGGAAACCACCCAAGTGCCCATCAACTGATGACTGGATAAGTAAGATGTGATGCATCCATACAACTGGATGTTACTTTTATTCCACAGAAAGGAATACAGTACCAATTTGTGCTACTCATTCGTGCTACCACATCGTGAATCTTGAAAACATTACGTTCAGTGAGAGAAGCCAGTCACAAAAGACCACATATTCTATGATTCCAGTTACATGGAATGTTCAGAATAGGCAAATCCCTAAGGACAGAAAGTAGACCACTGGTTGCTCTAGGGCTGGGGTGGGGGTGGGGTTGAGGGAAAATGGGGAGTGGCTGCAAATGGGTACCCTACTGGGTTGATGAGTGTCCCCTCCACCCAAATTTATAACAAAAATGTTCTAAAATTGATTGTGGTGATGGTTGTACAACTCTGTGGATATACTAAAAGCCACTAAATTGTATACTTTAAATGGGTAAATTGTATGGAATGTAAATTATATTCCAATAAAGCTGTTATTAAAAAAACATTCAAAGTGGGCGCCTGGGTGGCTCAGTCGTTAAGTGTCTGCCTTCGGCTCAGGTCATGATCCCAGGGTCCTGGGATCGAGTCCCACATTGGGCTCCCTGCTCTGCGGGAAGCCTGCTTCTCCCTCTCCCACTCCCCCTGCTTGTGTTCCTTCAACATTTATATGTCTCTGTCAAATAAATAAATAAAATCTTTAAAAAAATAAAATAAAAAAACATTCAAAGATATACAAAAATGACGGGGCGCGTGGCTGGCTCAGTCATGGGAGTGCATGACTCTTGATCTCGGGGTTTTGAGTTTGAGTCCCACGTTGGGTGCAGAGATTACTTAAAAATAAAATCGTAAGGAGGTGGGGGGATGGGGTAACTGGGGGCTGGGCATTAAGGAGGGCACCCGATGTAATGAGCACTGGGTATTCTATGCTACTGATGAGTCACTAAAATCTACCTCTGAAACTAATAATACAGGATATGTTAACTAAAATGAGTTAAAAAAAAAAAAAATCTTAAAAAAAAAAAGCTATACAAAAATGCTGAAGAACTTTGAGAAGGATCTTGAATAATCCCAACAGGGAGAAATTCCCTTTCTGTCAGTAATTTAGGGTGTGGAGAGGTTGAGAGTTAAATATCAGATGTTGGTTAAAACAGGATGGGTTGCTAGGTCTGCTGCTGATCCGCTATACGGACTGTCGGCCTTTCAGACAGAACTCTTTCAGTTGAAAGCCACAGAAAATCTACTCAACCAGGCTTAACGAAAACAATACAATTTTATCTCACATACTTGGAGTCCACAGTGGGCACTGGCATCTGGACAAGGTCATGGGAGCGATTTTGGTTTCCTTCGTTCTTGCCTTCATGCTCAAGCTACCCGCATCTCTGTGTGGTGGCCCTTACAGTTCCTGGTACAAGAGGAGAGAGACTCTTTCTTGCTAGCTCTCACACAGTTCCGGGACTGTCCAGGGCTGGCTCCCATTCCTACAGCCAGGGAGTAAGTTTTGCTTCAACCAAGTTCCATGGGCAGAGCAGGATAGGGTGGCTCCCCCAAGGAAGAAAGGCTGGGTACACAAAACATGTCCACTACGCCAAAGGAAGCTCTAAAACTTGCAGAGATTTGAGCATCATCTCAGCCCCATAAATACTTGCCAAATCAATGTAGGAACACACAAAATGGAGCTACTGCAGAATCCTTTTAGAGCATCACATTCCAAATTCTTATTCCATATTTTAGAGAAGCAGTAACACACAAGTTAGGACAGATGCCAAGGTCATCAGCCAGATGCCATGTTAGCAGAGGAAGCTACTTCAATCAAGGATAGATTGTTCCGTGATCCAGAATTCTGTCCGAAGAGATAGGTCGCTCTGGTAGATAGCAGACCTTTTCTTTTTTTTTTTTTCCCTGACGCGGCCGCAAGAAAAGCTAAGGCTTGTCCAGCACAAAGGAAGCAGCAGTCCAGTATGAAGAGCTGGAAAACACTCTGCTACCAACAAGCTTGTTGCAGTTTGCCCTTCTTATTTGAACTGGTGATAATCCGGTGGGTTTCTGATCCAGGATCCGAAGGCCTGCTCTCGGAGCACACTCCAGGCTTCCTGGTAAGCAGATGCAGCCTCCTTGTATTCGTGGTACGTCTCCAGCTTCCGCATCCTAATGCACACACCAGCAAGCACACAGGTTCTCAGTGATCAGCTCAGCATGGTGGCCAACTGAGCCAGCAGCCGGACAGATTTCTAACCAGAGACCTAGGAACAGACCTAGGAACGGGAAGATTTTGGTATGCTTTCCTATAGCAACTCTCTCTCCATTGCAGGAAATTCACCAGAAAGCAACATGAATTGAAACAAGTGATAATAAACAATGCTAGTCTTGTCTGCTCCTGGTGGAATCAGATAAAACAGGAATAACTACTTTTTGGTTTAAAGTGTTCTGGGAAATGGCTTACTGCAAAGAAGTCCCCTTCCCTATAAGACTCATGGATGCCCCTTAGGTCTACCTATGACGGACCCTCCAAACTCCCATTCTGTCTCAATGACTAGCTGAACTGTTTCTACCCACACACCAATCTGGACAAAATTCTTGCTTCCTTGACCAACATTAGTTATGCTTCTGTCCTTCTCCCAGGCCCTGAACTCTGACCCCTCCTCAGCGTGAGTGTGCATCAGAATGTGTAGTGACCCCTTCTTAACAAACTACCCCCCACCCCACCGAGAACAGACTGATTTCAAGAAAAGACATTTCCTATCCACCTGTCCCCTCACACTGACTGTGCATCCCATGTTCCCTGCCCGGTTCTTTCTAGCCTTGCTCACTGCTCCCCAGAAAGGAAGACTCCTTCCCGCCCGCCCTAGACGCTTACAAACCATACGACCTCCGTGTCCTCGCTTTGGCATCAGTCCTGCTGTGGCTTTAACAGCCCCTCTCTAACTGCAATGATCCTTTTGAATAAAGTCTCCCCTGATCTTAGTTCAGATTTGTTTTCACTGACACACAAAATGTCTGGAACCCCCTGGTCAGTTTGATTCATTTTTCCAGACAAAAAATGAGCAAACAGACCACTGACCAAACTGACTGCAGGACATCATTACCGACTGCAGTATGCACGGTGGTAGTTAACAAGGGGCCAACTTCTTCAAGGAGAAGTTTCTAGCGATACCTTACCTTCCCCATGGCTGTACGATAAAGAATTTGGCAGGTCTTGTTGCCAGTTGCTGCGAGGGAACCACCACACCCTCTCAATTTCCCCGGGGGTAGGAATGTCTTTGTTCTTCATGGTGGGCCCCTCTGACCACACCTGAGTTTACACTTAATGAGGCGACTCCTGGTGGGCCTGAGACAGATCAGGATGGGGCTGGCCATGCCAGAAAGACTAACCACAGAGTCCAGTGGGGTCTGTGCTATCAGTCTGACCTCCTGACCTGAGGGGGAGATGGCGAATGAGTTCAGTCACATCACGTGGCAAACTATTCAGTCAGGCTGACGTAATGAAACCACAGTAAAACCTCTGTACACCGAAACTTGGGTCCCCCTTCTGGCTGGAGATACAGAGTGATGTGCTGGGGTGGGGGGGTGACACATCCTGAGGACACAGACGAGTTGTTTGGGACCTTCTCAGACCTTGCCCTACATGTCCCTTCTTTTAGCTGGTCCTGATTCATATTCTTTACATTACAAAGTAATTGTTCAGTATAGTGCTTTCCTGAATTCATCAGTTGTTCCAGAGAACAAATGAACCTAAGGGGGTAGTGGGAAACCCTGAGTTTGTAGGCAGTGGTCGGAAGTGTGAGCAGCTTGCGTCTGTGTAGGAAGTGAGGGCAATGACCTTGGGTATTTAGTGTCTGAACTGCCCCACCCACCTGCCCCCGGAGCAGTTTTAGAGTTCTCTATGCTCCTGCTTGGAAGCAATTTCAATCGTGAAGCTGCAGCTCACAACCACTGATGTGAACAAGAGAGAGAGAGAAGAGAGTGATGTTCCTAACAGACGTTACTGCTCCCCACACACTCATGTATCCGCCTTGCTCTCCCTCTGGAGGAAGGTGAAAGGAGAGCCTGGAACGGGCCAAGCCCCAATTCCCCCCCGCTCCAGTCCTCTGTAACTCTGCACTACTAAGCCACCCACCCTGCACACCTCACATCTGAGTTTGCAATCAGAGCCCCAGGGAGAGAGGAGTGCACGGGTGGTAATTAAGTGCCCACGGACTCCTGCCAAAGCTTCCTGCCATTCGTAAGCCAGAATTAACCCCAAGCTTCCTAGAGATGAAACAACATGGGTCTACAGCATCACCTGAGGGAGTCTGGCCACTTGTCCTCTGAAATACTGCTTAGCAGTCTCTGAAATGATCTAAAGAGTTCCACTTTGCTGATCCGGGATCTGTTTGGAAACAGATGACAAAGAGGGTTTATTAGAAGTGTTTAACATGTACCAGCCCCTATCAGAGATGCCAGGCTTCACACGGAGCTTTCTTAGGTTTGAATGCGCCAGAGCCCCCATTTCCACCTGTTCTTCACATGAAGAACATCTAGACCTGATTTGGGTGAGGGGAAAAAAAGGAATCTCATCTTAAGAAGTGTCATCAGGGGGCGCGCCTGGGTGACTCAGTTGTTAAGTGTTTGCTTTCAGCTCAGGTCATGATCCCAGGGTCCTGGGATCGAGCCCTGAATCTGGTTCCCTGCTTCTCCCTCTCCCACTCCCCCTGCTTGTGTTCCCTCTCTCGTTGTCTGTGTTAAATAAATAAATAAAATCTTTAAAAAAAAAAAAGTGTCATCAGGGGGAGCTTGCGTGGCCAGTCGTTAAGCGTCCGCCTTCGGCTCAGGTCATAATCCCGGGGTCTTGGGATCGAGCCCTGATTCGGGCTCCCTGCTTGGCGGGAAGCCTGCTTGCTTCTCCCTCTCCCACTCCCCCTGCTTGTGTTCCCTCTCACTGTCTCTCTGTCAAATAAATAAATAAAATCTTAAAAAAGAAAAAAAGTGTCATCAGCGGTGAAGTCATCAAGGGGACAGGTTCAAGTGGGGTAAAGACAGAAGTGGCTTTACTAAGCTCCCCCCAGGACACCTACCAGCCACACCAGGCTACCTCTTTTCCAGGGAGCTGGCCCTGTGGGTAATACTGCTCAAGACACTGCAACGGTTTCAGATTCGAGTGCTGCTCCCTGTGCGAACTGCGGTCCTAAATTCCATTTGGACGAGCACTGGACTGACTCTCCTCTGGGCACTGTGGGCCTTTGAGGCCAGTCCTTTGCTTCTACCACGAAGCTTCATGCAGGCCATAGTTTAGAACATCAGGGGAAGTGAATGTGGCCAGCCCACCTGGCCACCAGCCCACCGGGGCCTTCCTGCTTTTGCCCCTCCATGCCATCACGCCTCCTTTCCCTCCCTTTCACAGTTCACGAGCTGATTTAGAGTAGGGAAGCATGTGTGCCAACAAGGGGCGATCTCCTCTTTACACAGCAGAGCCTTTGCCGTTCTCACAGACTGTATCATCAGCTTGGACACTGTGGCCAAACGGGGATATGGGAAATAGGGAAGTGTCCGGTCTGTCAAAACGCTCCCTCACCTGGCTGGCACCTAGGCTACTTAGCAGGGGGCCCTGAGCCCTCACAAGCTGCTCCCCCTGGGCCTTAACTGAGCTCGAGTGGCAACTGGTGCCTGGCAATATGTGGTTCCTTTAATATTAAAAAACAAACAAACAAAAAAACCCAAAGCCAAAAAACTAATGAAACTTATTTTGTTAACAGATTAAAGGAGAAATGTAATATAATTGTGAGAAACTCCCTCTCTCTCTCAAATAAATAAAAAAAATCTTAAAAAATAAAAAAAGGGGGGCACGTGGGTGGTTCAGTTGGTTAAGTGCCGGTTCCTGATTTCGGCTCAGGTCATGGTCTCAGGGTTGGGAGATCAAGCCCCGCGTCGGGCTTCATGCTCAGTGTGGAGTCTGCTTGTCCCTATCCCTCTGTTCCTCCCCCTGCTCGTGCTCTCCCTCTCTCTCTCTCTGAAATAAATGAATAAATAAAATCTTTTAAAAAAATTGTGAGAGGGCGCCTGGGTGGCTCAGTTGGTTAAGCGACTGCCTTCGGCTCAGGTCATGATCCTGGAGTCCCTGGATGGAGTCCCGCATCGGGCTCCCTGCTCGGCAGGGAGTCTGCTTCTCCCTCTGACCCTCCCCCCTGTCATGTGCTTGCTCTCTCTCATTCTCTCTCTCAAATAAATAAATAAAATCTTAAAAAAAAAAAATTGTGAGAAAAAACATTCAGAGAAGCATTTGTTAGAGTTCAAGATCCACAGAATGATTTAAAACCTTTTAGCAAATGAGGACTAGGAAAGACAGTATTTACGTCCAAAAAGGGTGTCTATAAAAACCTGCAGCAAATTCATGTCCTTAAAATCAAGAATAAGATAAGGGCACTGCTTTTATCCAATGTTACACAGAAGGTTCTGGCCAGTAAGACAAGAAATAAAAGGAGTAAGTCATTATTTGCTGATGTTTGTGACATTGTCAGTTCTAGCCAGGATAGCAAGTCAAGAAAAAAATAAATTAATTAAAGGAATGGAGGGTTGGAAAGGAAATACTATTTGCAAAAGATCGTTTACATTGAAAAAAAATGCAAAAGGATTTCCAGATAAATTAGGATAATAATAAGAGTGAACAAGGTTGCTGGATACAAACATTAACTGCAACAGGGAAAAACAAAAAACGGTAACAGCAGTGACCAGAAAATGAAGTAAAAAGAAATTCCTTAAAATAGCATCGTGGTAGCTAACCTCCAAGATGGTGATTATTTTTTAAAGATCTATTTATTTATTTGAGAGAGAGGAGGAGAGAGTACGCACGGACGTGCACACACACACAACCCAACACAGGGCTCAATTCCAGGACCCTGAGACCACGACCTGAGCTGAAATCGAGTCAGCTACTCAACCAACTGAGCCACCCAGGTGCCCCATGGCGATTTTTTTAAATTGATGTAGAGTTGACTTACAATATTATATTAATTTCAGGTGTATAACGTAGTGATTTGACAATTACATATGTTAGGAAATGCTCATCACAGTAAGCATAGTTACCTTCTGTCACCACACGAAGTTATTACAGTATTATTGACTGTACCCCCATGCTGTACTCTTCATCCCCATGACTTATTTATTTTATAACTGGAAGTCTGTCCTTTTTTTTTTTTTTTAACATTTTATTTATTTATTTGAGAGAGAGAGAGTACAAGTTGGGGGAGGGGCAGAGGGAGAAGCAGGCTCCCAGAGGAGCAGGGAGCCTGATGTGGGGCTCGATCCCAGGACCCTGAGATCATGACCTGAGCCGAAGACAGAAGCTTAACCAACCGAGCCACCCAGGTACCCCTGGAAGTCTGTACTTCTTAATCCCTTTCATCTTTTCTCACCCACCCCCTCCCTTCCCTCCCCTCTGGCAACCACCAGTTTGTTCTCGTATTTCTGAGTCTGTTTCATCATTTTAGGAGACGGGACCACACATCTTATTGTTCAGGAAGCCTAGACAGTCTTACAGACTCAACATTTCCATTGCCCACCTCACCCACCCAGAATCAGCAAAATAAATCAGCAAAAATAAACTAGTGTCTTGCCCAGATGCTCGCGCTTCCCCTTGAAACACTGAGAGGTGACCCCTGAAACTTTTGCTACAGCCCAGGGGCCACTGATGTGCAACTATGCATCTGGCTTTATTTTTACAGAGCATTAATGAAGCATCCACCAAAACAAGAAACCTTAGCAATCAACCGTGCCCATCTGGAGCTGGAGATGGCTCCACATCAAGGTTTGTTAAAGAAACACATCACTTAAACCACACTGGAAGGAGCCCTAAAGGATTCGATTTACCACCAACATTGTAGAGAAATGTCAAGGCCTCCAGGGTCACTGTAAGAAGCCATCAGTGTGAGCTTAACAGCTTCTTAAGACCAGTTCTGTAAATGGTTCCAACATTCTTCTCTCTGGAGGAACAAACAGCCCTTTCTCTTATCAATGTTTTTAGCCTAAGTCAATCGCCTTGTGAGTAATGCTAAGGTATCATACCTATAAAGACAGAAGGGGGATGCTGGGAACCTCTCCTCTGCGGCAAAAAGAGCTCCCTCCAGAGAGATAAGACCTTTTTGAAGATTTATTCAACAGCAGAACAGAGTGACCATACTAGTAATTCCTCCGTCAACAACACCTACTCACTAGTAACTACTCAGGTCATCTATGGAGCACAACAATCATCCACAGCCATCCTGGCAGCCGCCACTCTCCAAGGAGCCCGGGTTCCTTTCAGAAGCAAGGATTACACTCTTGGATACTAGGTTCTTCCTGGTGAGTTGGTTAACATTGCTGGTTGGTGCATCAAAGAGCCAGGAAAGCTATACACACATGTATAATTTCTTAGAGATTACACATTTACATTTTTTTTTTTTTAAGATTTCATTTATTTGAGAGAGAGAGAGAGGAGAGGACATAGAGGGAGACTAAGAGGGAGAAGGAGACCCCTGCTGAGCAGGGAGCCCAACACGGGGCTCGATCCCAGTACCCTGGGATCATGACCTGAGTGGAAGGCAGATGCTTAACCGACTGAGCCACAGAGGCGCCCCTACATTGGTATTCTTAATCTGGCCCCATCTTTAACAAACGCAGATGCACTTAGGTGTCTTTTTTTTTTTTTTTAATCCCTCATCCTTTTCTTTTATAATCCAGTGAGGCATGTAATGATCTCTCCGGGATGCTCTGGGGTGGGAAGAGAATTTGACACTTAAGGGAAAAGAGTAAAATGAAGCTTCTTGAAAACGAGGGTCCTTTACCTGGTGTCTGTTATTATTGCATTGTGTGTAAAAGAACACAAGGACTTAAATGAAATATTTTCTTTTCCTATTGCATTAGTATATTAAATGTCTCTAATGTTGCAGTCCGCATTCATATTCCCCACAGTTCTAAAGAAGGTGGTCCCAGGATACCAGCACGAGGGAATGAGCAACGAGAAACCCTGTGAGTCTTTAGAACAGAAGAAACTGACTCTTCCACACAGAATATGACGCTTCTCTGGACAAGCGAAGGGGAAATCAATCTTGACAAGGTGTTTGCTGCAAGCCTGCACCACATTTGCCGGCACTTCTACCACATTCACGGGTGAAACACACTTTTAGTTCCCCTTGCTCTACAGGTGGGGAAACGGAGGCTCAGAGAGGTAATGTGCCCAAGGTCACACCCTGGGGAGAAAGCGAACTAGGAATTAAATATGTCTCCTGAACCGTAAAGCTTCTGCTCTTTCCCCCCTCCACTTCCTCCCTGTACGGAGTCTGCCTTCTAAATGGAGAGACATCTACAACCTGTCAGAGACCTCAGATCATCTACTCCAACATCCTCATTTGACAGAGACGCACGCGCGCGCGGAGGCCTGGAGAGCAACTGGGCCGTCCAAAGTCATGTGGATAACTGGAGACAGAGGGAGTGTGGGAATGTGAGGTGCTCCCAGTCAACAGAGAGCACCAACGTATTGGGACAAGCCGGGAGAACAGCACTACAGGAATTTGAAAAGAGGATGGTAATTGTGAGCCAGAAGGCAGGGGTAGATGAGCTGAGCTCTGAAGGTAAAAGAGGGCGTGGATTCCTAGGGAAGAAGAGCACTGGTACCCGAGCAAAGAGCAAAGCACAAACCGCAGCCACAGCCGGGTGGGTGGGGCTGCTGCCGGCCTGTGCACAGAGCCGGAACTCTGCAGGAAATGTGGTCCCTGTGAAGGTACGACCCGCCCTGCCCACATACCCTGGTCTGTGGCTAACAGCTAGTCCCCTGAAAGATGTAAACAGTGGCCCGAAGCCCGGAGACGCTTGGGGAGAAACTGACCCAAAATCTCCACCCCTAATTTTGTCACTGTCACTCACTCTGCAGACTAGCCCATTTCAACCCTGGTTAGTGGCTGCGAAGAATAAAACTTTCTCTTTTACAGTCTAAAGAATCATGGAACACTACATCAAAAACTAATGATGTACTGTATGGTGACTAACATAACATAATAATAAAAAAAGACATAAAAACAAAAGTCTAAAGAGATGTAAGTTGTTACTGCTGTCTGTGTTGGGGCCGGCAAATAAGCATATCAAAAAGAAACAAATCCTTGGGCGCCTGGGTGGCTCAGTCGTTAAGCATCTGCCTTCGGCTCAGGTCATGATCCCAGGGTCCTGGGATCGAGTCCCACATCGGGCTCCCTGCTCGGC